TGTGTGTGTGCATATATGTGTTTTTGTGATACAGGAGTTTGTCAATGACATGCTGGTGAAGACTAAAGCGCTCTGTGTAAAAGTGAGTGCATGTGTGTGTATGATTGCTCTAAATTATTCCAAACGTCTAAAAAAAAACCTCTTTGAAGACACTTACTCATCCCAGGCAGTGATCCTACGCACATACAGGTACGCACACAGACTCTTGCACACAGCTATGAACTAGGTCGCATAGAATACAGTGTCTGTGTGTGCCTATGTCTCTGTAACCTTGAGGCCAGAGCCACTTCAGATGATTACACATGGGATGTAGAACTTACCAGATGTCAGCAACCAACCCCTACATACCCACACAGACCAACATATATTTACGCTGGCTACCTTGTACTTTATTTCCACAATAGAAGATTGATCTAATGAAGGCCAGAAAAAATAGTGTAAAGGACAAGACTGACATGGAAAATATGGGTGAAAGGAAAGGAATGGTGAAAATAAAATGATTTAAAGAAATGCCTACCTAAATAATTACTAAATAAATGTAAGAATCTGGAAAAGAGGGACTCAGATAGAGAAGCAAAGGAGGAACTTAAAAACAGACAAACATAGACAGAACTGATAGATAGATAGATAGATAGATACGATAGATAGAATAGATAGATATAGGATAGAAGATAGATAGATAGACAGACAGAGATAGATAGAAGTGCAACCTACCTGGAGTGTAGCTTTGATCTGGGAAGGTGTCGCGGCCGGGCGAGGAGAGAGAGAGACAGACATTCATTAACATGCATGCTAAGCCCTTAGGTTACCATGGCTACTTACTGTACATGCACACCCGTCCAGGGTTACCGTGGTAACATACATGCAAAATCCACGCAAACGTCACAATGGATACCATGCTGCACTGGTAGCCAAAACTGAGGTTTGTCTATATATATATGCACACAGCGGCATTAAAAAAATGCACAATGTCTCAATGACTCCACATGTGTGCAAATACACTTACATAAGCGCACACACACATACCCACCCACACTTGTAGATACAGAGGGTGGAGGGGGGTTGTGGGCGAACATATACTTTCCTACCTGTATGTTTGGATTCAAGAGCCGGTTACCCCAGAACTTACCTTGCAGCCGCTTCCTCTCCCCAGAGCCCCCCGACAGATAGCATGCAACACACACACACACACACACACTCACTCTCACAGTCTCTCTCTCACTCTCTCTGTCTTTCTTGCATACAGACACACATACACTAACATTGACTATGGCAGTAATAGTGACGTGAAATAGCAGAAAAACATGTAGGGATGGATTAGCAGTGCAGGAAAACGAGGGACATGCATGGGTCAATATTGAGACTGAGTGTGTGTGTATGTGTGTGTGAGATGTTTGTGTGCTTGTGCAAGTGTGTGTATTCTGAGCTGTGTGCTCATCTGAGTGTTTCCTTGCCTCTGCCCTTGTGCTAGTAGCATGTCAGAAACAGGTGGAGCCATTAGCATGCTAACAGCGATTTGCCCTCAAGGACAATGCAAGCCAGGCCAGGCCTAACAAGCCCGGTTCACTCTGCCTTCACTGGAGGGCAGAGCAGCTTAGACAGTAATTACATTTGTGCAGCGCTCTGGCCAAACTCTCTTTGCTATAGTTTGAATATCTCCAATACTATTTTATGTCTTCAACACTGACATATTGTTGTGCTTTGGAACAAACCCCTGATAAATAGCCCTCTCCTCACACTGGTATGAAAGAAAGAAATATACTGTCTTCCAGGGGAGAAAAACATGCTCGCAGTATATAATAATATTATATTGCTTTGCAAATGTTTCTAAGCTTGTCACAAATCTGCAAAAATATGAGTGTGAA